GCTGACTGCTCCGACATCTTTCACAGGCTGGAGTCCATTTTACTAGTATACTTATACGTTATCATTGTAATCTGCGCTCCATCTCGTCCATATGATAATCGCTCAAATTGTACTACAGCTGTACAATGTATCATTTAGAAGTTTCACATGGTCTGCGTTACGCATGTATATTACCAAGCAAACGAGGAAGCGAGTAGCGAGTACATGGTGGAGTCTATCTAAACGCAACAAGGAAAATGGAGAAAGTCCAACGGCACGAAACCAAATGGGTTATTTATGTTATGATATAGCAAGGTGACGTGTTATCTCTGAAGATGGTCGTGTTGGCACAGAGGGTTGTTTGGGCAAGAGGTATGAACATTGGGTTGAATTGGGAGATGCGTTTGGGTCATGAGGGAATAGAGGAAGGTGGGTAGCATGTAAGTAGAAAGAAAAACAAAACAGGAAATGTAGTCCTTATATCATCTATCCTCTCACTTCGACTTTGCCAGATCCCTTGCGGCCTTGATAAGTGGTGCAAGGGTCCGCAAAGGCTCTGAAAGCTTGAAGAACGGATGCTAAAAAAAGAGAGGTTGATAAGCGAAACAAAGATGTTCAGGGACATCAACCCACCTGGAGCAACTGCGCCGCATCGGGTCGTTTCTCAGCATCCACTTCTAAAGATGCCGCCAGATAATCTCTAAACGTTTGCGACAACGCGTCCGGGTTGGCAATCGTCGGCGTCCCGTTTGTAGCAATAAGGTAGAGCGCCTTGAGTGGGTTTTGATTGAGATATGGAGGTTCACCCTCCACCATTTCTAGATGTCCAAAAAGGAAAGGATTAATATAAAATTAGCGCGTGTGATAAGGAGATCAGTACCGATGGCCATGATGCCTAAAGACCAGATGTCAACTTTGGGACCGTATTCTTTGCGTGTTACGACCTCAGGGGCCATCCAATAGGGCGTGCCCACCATCGTTGTGCGTTTGGAGTGCGCAGGATCAGAAATTTGGGCGCAGAATCCAAAATCGGCTACACAATGCGCAGCTCAGAATTTGCAGAACGAATTTGAAGATAAAATCGCCACTCACTGAGCTTGATATCCCCCTGCAAACTGAGTAGCACGTTGTCACTCTTGATATCCCGATGAATAACCCCATGGCGGTGTAAATGCTCCAATCCCTGTGCAGTCTCCCTGCTCACAGCAGCAATTTGTCCCTCAGTCATCAAGTTCGCGGTAACGACATCGGTGAGCGATCCACCCTCCATGTACTCCATCACGACCCATAAATCGTTTTTGTGTAGAAACGAATCAATGTAATTCACGATGTTTGGATGACGCGACGCGCGCATGACAAGAATCTCATTAATGATGAGATCCTTTTTAGGTTGCTTCTCGAGGTCCATTTGTTTAATTGCAACAGAGAGGTTTGTCCCAACTTGATACGCAGTATACACACCTCCTGAAGCACTGCGATTTAAAAAAAGGGGGAAAGAAGTCACTCAGTCATTAACCTCGATCAGGTATAATTCGCGATTCTTACCCCTGTCCGATCTTTACGAGATTTCGGTAAAGCCTTGTCGGGTCAGCATCCGTACAAATCGCCTGTAAGCGCTTCACAATGTCCGAATCATCGAGTGCAGACTTCTTCTCCCTCCTCCTTGGCGTGGCCTGTCCTTGGACCTTGGCGAGACTCGCTGCGGCCGCACTGGGAGGGGCCTGAGTGCGATCGAGCTTCTCTCTCGGCACAACAGCTGGCGGTGCAGGCTGCGTCTTCGACGCCAAATCACTCGCTGAGCTCGCGGGGGACGTTTTCTGCGGAACAGTCGGCCCTAGATTCGGTGCAGGCTTAGACTGGCCTTGGATAGACGGGGTGCGTGTGCGTGTTTGGGTTTGTGAGCGGGCGAGGCCTTGAGTGCCGGTGGAAGGGGACGGAGAGGTGCGTTGAGATGCGGAACGGTCGAGGGCGGGTGAGAGAGGGGATGGCGCTGACGGGGCGGGACGGAAGGCCTGGGGCTGTTGGATCTGTAATGTCGGTTTTTTGGCAGGAGGTGGGGGAGGCGCGCGCTAATTAGAAATAGACGGTAATTAACGTCAGAGTGTCAGAAGTTGATTGTAACTTAGGTTACTTACAGGGTTCTGGAATGCATTATTTGGGGCTTGCGGAATATTTGGGTTGACAGGCTCCGTTCCTTGTATGGCAGCACCACCCATACCCATTTTATCCCAAACATCGCCACCACCCTCTTGGTAGAATTTAACGATTTCCATAACAGCCTGTGGGTTCTTCTCCTGCTCTGAACGCGAGATACCAGAATCTTGAAGGAGCTGCTGCCACTCCTTGGGGAGACCTGTAAATTCCCCGGTTGACGAGTTGAAACCGACATGTGTGAGGTGGACAGGGTCATAGGGAGTGCTAATTTCAGGTTTCTTCTGTGAGTGGAGGAACTCTGGAAGCATGTTGAGAAAGCCCTTGTTTTTCTTAGAAGCGGTTCCCGAGCGAGAGCGGGAACCAAGAGTGGACGAAGCGGACGTAGACGCTTCGATGCTCGGAGAATCGAGTGATGAGATAATTGACGGCTCGATAGGCGTGTATGGGGGCTGGACTGGCTGGTACATGTCGGTTAATGTCGCTGTATTGACACGCGACGGGCGGGGAGGCGGTGGCTGCACAGAAAAAGTTGTCGCTGGGGGATTTGCTGCGAAAGGGTCATGCTGCTGGGGCTGACTTCTACTTCGGGGACGAGGCTTAGTTAACGTAGAATTTCTCTGAGTTGGGGTGCGGGAACGGGGAGGCTGTACTGGGGGTGGGGGAGGTGCGGCACGTGTTGGAGCGAGGTCTTCGCCAAAATGCGACCAGCTCGCCGCAGCAGCTGCATGGGTGCTCGCGTCTGCTAGAAGATCGTTGTACTCCTGAATGCTCTCTCTAGAAGGACGGTGATACTCGACAGTGATATGAGCCTTTGACTGTCGTCGCGGAGAAGTAGTCGTGGTAGTACTTGTGGTGGTAGTTGGAGTAGTAGGTGTCGCACCATTGTACTGGTGAGGATGCCGTATCGAACGACGAGGAACAGGGGTAGACATGTCTTGGAGAGAACGTCGAGCACGATCAGTGCGGTTCTAGTTTCGAGTAGGGTTTTGAAGCTTTTTGAGAAAGGAGCCTTAAAGAGCCTCTTGTTCAGGTTTGAAATGGAAACTGTGGAAACCAGTGATTAGACAGACGGTGTTGGCGGTGTTTCAATTCTGCGGTCCATACGGCCACACTGCTGGTTGCTTAGTCAGCGTTTTCACAAATGGTTGGAAGGCACACTGCACTGCCTTCAAATAAATCATAAAATAATTTTAGAAATCTCGTTTTGCTCATTGATGGCAATATTCTCGGGTAGCAATGACTCGTTGTTGATCGTTCAAAATATCTTTCAGGTCCAAGTTAAGTGGGTCCGTGACGGACAGCCCGGAATGAGCAAATGCTCGATGGGAACACGCGGTTACAGGGAGTTGCAATAATTGGAGTTGGAAGAAGCGAAGTCGAATTCGGTATAGTAGCAAAAATCACGCATATTCGGCAAATACCCACGTGCTAGCCAAAGACTGACCATAATAGGGTTACACAGCTAATCAGGCTCACAGAACTCACTGCTACCACGATGTTTCTTTGACAAGCTCCAGGCGGGATATGTGGTACTGTAGGCTGTTATTGGCCGAACTGTTCGACATGTTCTCCTCACTCACTGCCTTGACATTAAGCAATTGTGCCACACCGCACCAGCACCGCCTCCGCCCGTACTGTCTATAATAGCAGGATAGCAGTCCGGTTAAAGATAATAATATTGAATTACGCCACGCCGTCGCAGACACGCGAAATATGAATTTGTGGGACTCGCTGGAAGAGGCCTCGCCGTATCATAAGTTCCTGGTTCTAAGGTGCCCCAGCCCACCAGTGGACATCATCATGATGTTATTCTTCGATGCAATCACCTCTGATTCTAGTCAAACCCACGCGGTCAACATCGTGCAGCTGACGGGAATGATCACTTACAGTGGGCTTCAACAGGATAAACAGGAATGAAGCACATGAGACACGTGTAGAAAATGCGGCTTTAATTCAGCCTGTGGACATGGATGAGTTACACAACAGGTCGTGTGATGAGGATCCTACGGGCCGTACAGGTCGACTCTCTGAAGATGCTACACGAAGAATTCGGAGCATGCATGTACATTCACCAAAACAGAATGGCCAGAAGCTGGCCCTGACGCCTTCAGGAACAGATTCGGAGCAGAGAACATTTCTGACGGAAATCTGATAGCTACAGGCAAAGATTCTTCTTCTTGAGAGAAATGATGAGAGAAGAGCCAAGATGAGATTGAAGGGGTGTGTCCAACTTGGCCAAGTATTTGACTTCTGGGGGCCAAGTCCTTACCAGTGATTGATGTGCCCGATCCATTATATTAATAGCCGTGGCATTCAACCAAACCTCAACTCGAAAAAATCTAAGGAAAACCTCCAGGATAATGATCAATATTTGGAAGTTAAAAAAAGGATTGATCGGTGAAGACTGACCGATTTAAAACGTCCCATCCGAAGAGATAAGATAGGTCGAGTTTATACCTCATGTCACGTCGCGTCGTCACGTTGGTAACACATCAAATAGCCACTCTCTGCCAGTAGAGATCATCTTTGTGCCTCTATTACCACATACATCGCCCGTCGCGGTAGTCGGTTTCATAACGTACATGTGAAAATGACCGAAGAGTCGTGTCAGAGGCACCGTTTTCGTCAAAGATCGTCGCCAAACTGAGGTTCTGAATTATAATCCTTCACAAAAAACTGAGTGTCAGTGCGGTGATATTTCCAGAAAACAAAGCAATTTTGACTCACAAACTAAAACAAGGATAATAAAACAATTTATGTTCACGTCCGAGGAGTTATAGTATTTCTTACCATGATTATCATGGTAGTTGATTTGTACCTGTAGGTACGGAGTATAGATATAACTTTGTAATGGCCGAGATATCAGCGGCCCAATGGTCTAGTAGTATGATACCTCCTTCGGGATTATATCCCGCCTGATTACTCGGGCTGAGATTGGAGGTGGTCCCGGGTTCAATTCCCGGTTGAGCCCACTTTTTTGCGCGTTTGCGGTTTGACTCGACCAACTCAAAAAGTCGGACATTTCTTCGCAATTTCTAAAGAACAATGAATTCACTTCGTAAAAAAAATTAATCACTTGATTTTTCCGTGTCTATTTTAGAGGCCCATCAGGTAAAGACCTCTCTAGTGTAGCGGTAACAATTGACTAGATTTTTTCATGTCACGTTTGGAAACTCATCATACCAACCCTCCTCCGATCCTCTCCCAGTCTTGAAATGTCGAATTTGGTTGTAATACCGATAAAAGCTGGTTTTCGATTCGGCTCTTGCTTCATCAAGTTCTATATATGCTCGCGGCGCATAGGCCTTACTCTTGACAATTGGTTGTAAAGACGATCTTATATATAGCCCTAAAAATGGACAAGAATGCAACGCATTTATGTTAGCACCCTCCACTAGTCACCTAAATCAAGGGTCCCTCCGCCTACTGCCTCCAATTTTACATTTCTTCGGGATGAGTCTGGCACCGTTCATTTATCCTGCGATTCGTTTCCTTGTAGCAATTTCCATGATTCGTGGCGCCGAATCTGAGAGCGTGCGTTGGCATCCTACACTTGTTGAGATGTCTAAATTGCCTTTGCTTCAAGCTCTTCCCTCCTCATTTTTTATCTATATAACTACTGCTTCCATTGCTTCTATTATACAACTCTTGAACGATGGTCTAGGGGTGTGGTAGTCCGTGGTAACCAGACTGGGCTAGCCACTACGACCGCCCGATGGTGTTTCAGGCAGGGACTTTTCTGTCATATCATCGAAAAGAGAAGTCCTCAATATTACCCAATAAGGGCTTTATAGATGTCCATTATGGGTACATAGCGATCCAAGACAGTCAGTAGGATACTGATTCTCGATTGTCGACATTCTCATGAGGTGGGGAAAATATCCACAACCCAGTGTTTCCTGGCGGTGCGCAATATTACTTAGTAACGGAGTTGCACAATGGATATATATTGGCATTAATCCTTTGCTTTACTTGCATAAGGATAAAAATACCATAACGCGCCTGGACGACCTCAAATTATCTTCTGGATGTTAGTGCACTTCTCAATAGGTAATGGCTGTATCACCACACTGCCATATCTCACGAGTATGTTTGTGTCCCATACAACCTTCTTCTCTGCTGTTAAGAATTGTGTCAGGAAGGCTGCCAGCAAATAAGCGTTTGACAGCTAAGGGGTGTGGCGAAACGCCGAGACCAGGCCACGAGGAGAAGTTAATCTCTAGCAGGATCTCTTCTGCCCTGCAAACGGTATTCTCCTCGACCAAGATTTGTGCACAAGGTACCGGATCAAACTTTTGTTGCACAATTCTCAGCGTGTCGGCCCAAGGCTGCGAATAGTTCCGAAATAAGAGCGGGGGCTTTTTTTAACTGTCCAGTCCGAAAAACTCAATTCTGCACCCGCCTACGTTGGGGATCTAAGAAACCCAAGCGAAGAATTCGGGCATGTGTGATTGTTTGACTGCTTCACTCGCATAATTGATATTTGCAACGATCCCATAGAACGGATACCAGCATTAATGTCTCTGATGAGTATAATATGAATATAGCGGTCGTGGAGACGGTGGGCGAAGATCTCCCGCTATAAGTTGCCAACTAAGCAAGGGCAAGATATATTTCCCCCCGACCGGCCCTTGCTCTTTACCGGGATCAGACTACATTGTCCGTGGCAAGAATCACAGGAGTTTTCCCTATAGCAGGCTGGGAAGAATGTCGGGAAAGGCGAAGAGAGGCACTGTCCTCGAATAAAAACCCATGACGCTAGTAATGGAGAGAACGCTGCCGTAATATCTGCTTTTGCACGATGCTTCCTGGGCTTCGATTTTTAAACTCGCCCTCATGACTTCATTGATAATCCGTCAAGAAGAAGTCGGTTCTCAAACTTCTCATGTACCAGTCTGCTATTCGACACACTATGCGTATGTGTGCAACGTTGCGGGTGCCGCCATTTGTGTCCAAAAATCTCCCGTCCGTTACTCTTTTGAGATAATATGGCGTTTCCGAATTTCTGTTTTCATACTCCAGGTTTCGGATGCCTCTCTAACTCGCTTATGCGGTTCGGAGCCTGCGACATTGGTTTCAAGTGAAAATAGCATGCGAGAACGGTCAATATGGAACGGTTCATTAACGTAGATTTCTCTATTCCGTATGGTCAAAGTTAGGTTGGCGAGATGATGTGGCCATTGAAATAGTGCATACATTAAAGCACGACTAAATAATTCATAGGAGAAATTAATCCCTATACACGGCAGCAGCACCAACATTGACTCAGGCCGTCAATGGCCGTGTAGCACTGCGACTAGGCGACAATTTACACATCCCCGCACCGGGGGTTCCATCTATTTGAGCATAAAGGTCGACGCGCAGCGCGATTTAATGTGATAATTGGAGAGGATAGTGTCACGTCGGTAGAATAGGTAATTTGCGACCTGCTTGATCTATAACTCGTGCGGTTTGGCAGATGTTGTGTATGGCAAGATGTAAAGGGGATGTTGCCTGGTGAGCCAAACGAACAGAACCGGACTTGCCTTTATATCTGCGAGGCTTTGCGGATTGACTATGAGAAAGCCCTCCGGACCAGCATCGTCGAAGTTGTTGTTCGTCGTGCACAGGGAAAATGTCTTTGAGCGGAATATCATACAAGGCATGATCTGTTTCCCTACCATACTAGCTGAGAGAGTACGAGTCGCTCGCCTTGTTGACAGGGACACTGACCAAAAATTTAGCCAAGGCGTAGTAGAACTAAGCCAATAAAAGCAATGGTAGACAAAGCATAAGTAGGCCATCAGGGAAGCGCAGCTCGCTCCTTCTGCCATTCCCTGGGGAGTTTTATGTGTTTTACCAAGAAATGCGTTGAGAGAATAGTATGAGTCCGTTGGATGATACTAAATCTATGTTTTAACATCTTATGTTGAATAACCACGGTTGTGTACGTGACATTTGAGAAATGTTCCATCATCCATCTAAAACCCGCATAAACACTGGCAGAGTGTTGACTAGACACAAACTGTGATATTTCCCGACCAAACCTGATGATAAACATTCGAGAACACCTCACTTGGAGGATCTTATATGCGGTTTTCCACAAATTATCAACCCCACTATACCCTAAAGAGGGAATAAATAAATATATACGGAAGGACAGAGCGCTTTACATTGAACGACATAAAAATGTATTGTTCATCCGGATAATAAACTCCATCAGGGATTTGGGAATGTCTACACCCATTATGTAGACTCCCTGGCCTCCCTAGACTCCCTAGATCTATAGTAAGCTTTTATACCGACTAGTAAATAGGGATCTCGCGAAAGTAGTGTGTCTAACCGAGTCTAGCCAAGCTAGCTAGCTCTCCTAGATGGGTCTAGACAATATAGACGGCATACTTACTGATCTTCCCACTTTCCTGATGTCTCGTGTCAACAAGAATACCGCGATCACCCACGACACCGCTAGGATTGACCAAGATGCTGTTGAGACTAATCCCACAACCAAAGCGGAAGGACGCGAGCGGCCCGGCTACTCCATCCTGCCCTGGACGCTCCACAACAACAATAATCTCACGGCGGCGTGGAACTCCATATACTTTACAGAGGGCTAATAACCGAACCCTCTAATGAGCCTTCGTCAGGAAGAAAGCAGCCTTACCAACCAAGAACTGCGTCATAAAATGCAAATAATAGTTCAAGACGGTTTACGGAGTCGTGCAGTGCTTTCGCGTGGGTCTTGAAAACAAGACGAGTGTGAATTCAATCCAAAAAAGGCAGCATCGATATCCGCATGCTGTCGTCAAGGTTACAGAGAATTAGATTGACTCGGCGCTGTATATTTCCGGGTTCAGCACGTACATTCTCGCGGTGATGCCTCACGATGAAACATGCCGAGGAAAATTGCTCTCATTCTCCCTGCCCGGTATGCATGGCGTGCAGTTATCCTTGATGGCCGGGTACACGCGACATCCGCCAAGCTGTCCTTCGGCTATCTGGCTCTCCCGACCGACCAGGACACATGCTGAGGACGTCTGAAACGTGAAACCACCCTCCGATATTCGAGTGTCCAGGTTTTGCCGCCTCGAGATCCTCCATTTATCTGTATTGCCATCATAAGTAATGCTGCTGTCAAAACCAGCCATTTCCATGATTTACACAGGTGCCAGATGATCCCACGAGCAACGGAACTAATGGCGGTCGCGATAGTTAAATGGAAGGCTCTAGTACGGTCCAACAGGTACGCTGCTGTAGAGTCCGCGTGTCAAACGCTTTGCATCTCTTGCCGCTGCCGTAATACGCTCTGGGTAGCTTTGACTCCACGCTGAGAATATGCTGGAGATAATCAATGAGGAAGCGAATTTCTCCCTGGTTGCCAACTAAAAATTCAAACCACGGTCCCGTCTAGGCGGCCTGATTGAGAAGGGTAGTTTGGGATTTATGACGTAGCCTCAGAACCCATGGCTATATTTTCGAACAGCCCAGAAGCCGATGACACCAGAAAAGGCGCCTAATCCTGGGGCGTGCTTTGTCTGGAACAAATACCTTTCCTGGAAAACGGCGTGAAAGCTCGATAAAGCGAAAGAGTCTTGTGAACGCACCACATACAGCTATCCTGAGGGTTTAAAATCTCCGCCACAACGTGTGGGAACTAGTAGATCGTTCAGTTCAGATAATTTTTATAAGTTTTAATTCGCGAAAGGAACGAAAACGAAAACGAAAGGGAAAGATTATTCTATTGTGAGTCGGCATCAGGATGTCGGTGATGGTGAAACTAGTGTGTCAAAAATTTTCATTGATCATACCAAGAATTCTCGTACTCAAGTCTCTGGCTAATAAATTCACTTGCTGCTTCTGCACCTAACTCGGTACGGGGAAGGGGCTATGTCAACCATCCACCCTCCGTCTCCCGACGTCATAATATATTCTTTTTTGCAAGTAAGCACAATATGGTAGTCCTAAATTAAAGACGGACGCATTATAAAATTC